GTTCTTTCATTAATAGCGGCCTCACCATAAGTATTTGAGAGCATTCGATGAGCCTCAGCCGCAGATATTGAAGCAAAAAATTAAAACCTTCCGCAAATGACGAGAATTTGGCTCGTATACTGACATTTTCAATCGAGAATAACTTTATGATGCAGACACAAATCGACTAATGTTTCTATGGGGTTATGTTGACAGATGCTCAAGTTTATTGTATGATGTCTATGATCTATTTATTTCGACCACTTACCGCTAAAGCCATCTACAGAAAAACGGCGGAAGCAAAGTTGTACACCTAAGAGTCAATGAAGTGTTTAAGAATCGTTAAAATTTTTTGTTCACTTTTTTGACGCTTCGACAAGTTTTACATTTTCATCAGGAAAATGTTATAAGTACCCAACTGATGTAATTCCACATAAAATATCTAAGATAATTTTTCCATAACTCTAAAAATTGAAAGTCACGTGATAAACAAGGTGTGTTTGGTGACTCAAAAAAGTCATGAGTATATATTTTCTTTATGATCATAAATCATCTTTATGATTTTTTTACCCGACGTGGAACGTACCTTATTTATTAACTGTTATCGTGGCTTTCAGTTTTTAGGAGTTACGAATTATTCTCTCAGATTGGTATAGGTATGAAAGGAATGCGGAAGCCTCATGAGGTCTAAAGCCTATTCTATTTTATATGTTTTTTTGTTTTATGTCGCCCGAGTTAAAAATTAACCAACTTTGAAAGAAACAAGAAATATTAGGTATGGGAAAAAGTTCGTGGCGTTTTTCCCGTTAGATAGCATTAAAAAAACGCCACGAACTTTTTCTCACATCTAATATGTAATAAAAAATACAATTGTCAATAAAACAGTTGCAAAGGAGAAAAAGTAAAAGGTAAAAAGAAAGCGAGAAACAGAAAACAAATACCTATAGGATATTATACTTCACATACGAACATGTAGGTGCACATAGGATAGAATATGTGCATACATCATCCTATGGTAGCCTATAGGCATTTTCATTCTCCATGGGGCACCCCTTCTTTGTCTTATATGTTGCACGTTCTACATGTTACTATGGCTTCGTTCTGTTTCATGCATGATGCGCATTATTTAACGTTGTTATTCAGCGTATGTTAAAGAAGGATAATTGATACATCATACGCACCATACGTGAAACGGAACGCAGCCTATACATCAAACTGAAATCCTATAGATCTTTTAGTTCTCAGGCCGAGTTCACATCTTGACGGAAAAGTGGAAAGCAGAAAAGTGGAAGCTAATCGGAACTCGCAATGGTAATAGATGGTACATTTCGCTTATCTGCTTCTGTTTTTTTCGCGAGTTCTGATTGACTTCCGTTTTTCCGCTTTTTCGTCAAGGTGTGAACCCGGCCGCATGGGGCACATCCGTCCACATTCCTGTAGGTCTCTAGGTTTGTCGCGCGTCACAAGCTCCAATATGCTCCAACATGTTCCTACCACAGCTCTTACTCACTCTATCAAGCGCGTTGGAATGAATAAGAGCTATAGTAGGAGCATATTACAATATGTTGGAGCATGTGACGCGAACAAACCCTTATCCTATTTGCATTCCTACGTATACCTATTCGACTGTAATTGGTCAATTTCTTACGGCTTAAAACTTAAGAAATAACCAACTATAGTCGAATGCGAAGAGAATAAGTAATTGTGATTCGTCCATTCTTTACGGCTTAAGGCTTAAAAATCTATTGTAGATCCGAGGTTAGGGCTGCCGCAGACAAAATTTCTGTAAGCCACGTCTTAACCCTTAAGATGTGAGCTAACGAGCCAATCAGGATATTACTTTAGATCTACGTACTCTAACGGAAATAGAAATAGTAGTAAATTTATTTACAAGGCGAGTTTCAACCAATTAAAATTCGCTTTTATTGCGAGGTTATGGATAAGTTTACTATTATTTCCATTTCCGTTAGATTATGTAGACCTAAAGCAATATCCTGATTGGCTCATCGGCTTAAGTTTATGTCTTACAGTTACTGTTGCGGAATTTTTGTATGCGGTAGCACACAAACTCTTGCATAATGCATAATGCATAAGAGAATCAACCAATCGAAATTCTTCTTTTCCATGAAATGGGAAGAAAGGAAAAATTCTGATTAGTTGATTCGTTTGGTAATCTTTACAGAATGTGAGAAGAAGAATCGATTGTGATTCGTTCATTTCTTATGGCTTAAGGCTTAATCAATTATAGACTAATGCCCGCATCACATTAATGATTAGAGATTGCGTCTGCATTTGCGTTTGCGCTTGAGATGTTTTTTACACTAATAACGATCAGCGATTACATTTTATCAGATATTTCTTGCAACGCGAAAATAATACAAAATTATAAAAGAAGGAATTCACATTTTGCATCATAATTGAATTATAGATTTCATATTTTTCCAAGAGATATTATTGTCTTCAATTTTTTGTTTTAATATATGAACTGGTCATATGACTACAAAGTTTTATTGCGTCTGTGTCTCGATTACGAAAAATAGACAAATATCTAAGGCTGGTATTTATAGGCCGATATTCATAGTCAGATCTTATATTCAAGACATCTTAAGTACGGTCTTATAAAGTCACGAACCAATCAGAGGGCCGCATTAGCGTCTTAAGACATTACTTAAGATGATCTTGAAATAAGAATCAACTATGAATACCGACCTAAACGGGAATTGTGAATCAATCGCCTCTTTCTTGATTGGTCAAAAAATAATCGCAGGCGCAAATGCGAATGCAGACGTAACCTCCAATCGCTAATATGATACAGGCATAATGCGAATTTCCCTCAGTCTAATTCATCGACTGGCTTTTGGCGATTGGTTCTTATTAGATTAAGATTTTATGAGATTTCCGTTAAAAACCAGTTGATATTTAATTATATAGTACTCAATTGAATCCGAATCGAATTTTTAATGCGGATTTTCCATTCAGTTCGATTGGCGTTTGCCGATTGGTTCTTATTGGACTAATGCCTGTATCACACTACGCATTGGAGACTGAGGATTGCGCTTGAAGATTAAAATTCAGCCAATTAGAAAAAACGTATTAAAACTATACTGATTAGTCGAATTCTAATTCGTAATTCGTAATTCTCAATCTCCAATGCATAGTATGACACAGGCATAAAAATCTATGAGTGGCTCCGCACAATAAAAGAAACAAGCAACCGAGAGCAGAGAATAAAAATTTTAACCTATTAAAAATTATGTATTGTGAAGTACTTAGTTTCTGATAAGTTGAAATTCTTATTTTCTGTTCTCTGTTCCCTTTATTGTGCGGAGCTCTTAAGATTTCTGATAAAAACCTATTAAAGTTTAATCGTATGACCCAATTGGTTCTGATTCGGATCATTAATGGGATTTCCCATTTAGTCCGATTCGCCGACTGGGAAGCGTTTGCCAATTATTTCACTTTGTTCAATTAAAATCAGATTAATTTTTTATTTTTTAAAAATTGGTAACATGCCTATATATTTTTACTGAAAGTGCATTAAATGGATATCCTACTAAAATCTTATTATTTCCGAATCATTTCAATAAGCTGTAATTTTGATTCCGATAGAGACTTTTCGTTCCTATTAAATTTCTATCGATTTTTAATAGATTTAAATAGTTTTTAATCGGAAATTTTAAGCAAAGTTTGACCGCGGTCTCATGAGTGGAAATTTATAACGGTACGAAACAGCGAGACCAATCATAATCGTAGAAAAAAAAAACAGAGTAATAATTGCAGAGTTGTGATTGGTTACGCTGTTCCGCTGTAAATTTTTGTTTTGTCATGGGACAGCGACCTTATGCTATAAACTTGCAATTATTATTATTATTGTTGATAGCGATACTTAAATAATAAAAAGAAATAATGGTACTATAAAGAATCATTTAAATTTGCAAGCTGAAATTAATATTCTCAAGAAAGTATCTGTGGCTTTTAAATTTATAAAAATACATATACATATAAATTATGCTATTAATGTTTAAATCTCGGTTGATCTTGATTTGTTTTAGTAAAGCGTTTTTTTTATAATTCTACATTTCGCATAAATTTTACTTATAAATTTTATTATAAGTTAGTTAAAGAGATTCCCAAGGAGAACAAGAAAATCAAAATAATGTCAATTTGACGGTCATATTGACCGAATTTATGTTATTTTTTGGTCATGATAAAAAAATGACATAAATTTGGTCAATATGATGTCAAATTGACATTATTTTGATTTTCTTGTTCTTCTTGGATGTGATATAGTGATTTATAAATTTTATTGTATTTAGATATATTTATGTATCATTTTGATATTCTCATGATAATTTTATTAAATCCATCGACAAGATACATATTAAAGACAGTCTGTCTTGGGCAAATTTTCGTTCTCACAAAAAAAATCCCGTGGCCAGGAGGTAATTGAAGAACTCTGTTATTATCGACAATTGATAAATTTGTATTCATTAATTAATAATCAAATCCGAAATAACATTAAAATTACACTTTTAATTAAAAATCGAGTATGATTTAATTTTACATACATATATACATATATTTTGTCTAGGATTGACGGTTTTTTAATAGTTTTCGGCGATACTAACAATACATATAATATAAATAATTTTGGTATAGTCGGATTCCTACTTTAGCGATTGAATGAAATTGTAAGATAATAAACTCAAATAAGATCCAAAAGATAGTGAAATTTAATAAATTGTTTTTTATGATTCGTCGATCAAAAAGATTACGTCAAAATCATCAAAATTGTTGAATATCAAGCATTCATTTTAATCACATGATCTTTTTTGTCGCTCAAACAGCCGGTTTGTAGCTCGTGAAAACTTACCTTTATGGACTGATAAATAGATGACACTATAATCGCATAGACGCTTTGAACGTTTTGAAAAGTTAACGTATACAATTGTGTGTAGGACTGTGTAGATCGAATATTTAGCGATTGCAATTCCTGGAGTTTTCTCTGTCAACAGATAAATATGCCTTCACTGATCAAAGATAGTATGAAAAACATATTTCACAATGTACAATTAAATAAAACTGATCATATGCAGTACATGAAAAAGCTCACAAAGTTGTATAAGAGGGTGAGTTTTTTTAAGGTTTCTTTTAGTACAATTTGATTTTGCTTTCTTGATATATATAATATTATTGATTTTACAAAGTTGATTTGAAGTTTTGATTGATTAGAATCATTTCAAAATAATATTTGCTACATACATACATTTGTCCTTTTGAAATAAATAATATTTTATGATCTATTAATTCTTTTAGACTGATTTAGATACATTTTGGGAACATTTTATCTGGTGTCTAAAGGTGCCTCTTTCAACATCACAACAACATCCATATGTTGTAAATACATTAGAGTTTTGTGCTAAATTCTGTATGAGTTTCTATCCATCCTTGGACAATGAAGTCATAGAACCAATCTCTCCATTTCTTAGCAGATTATTTGAGTTTCTTTTATCAAGTCATAATGCTAAGGATAAAGGAGTAAGATTTCGCATATGCCATTTTCTAAATATGCTTTTAAACTCCATGGGTGATAACGCTTTCATCGACGACAATTTATGTGACCAAATTACAGTCAGTATGATGGATCGATTGTTGGATAAATCACCTAAAGTCAGAGCACAGGCTGTTTTTGCCTTATACAGATTACAGGATCCATCAGATGAACAGTGTCCTGTGATAAAAATGTATCTCTTTCATGTATCTAGAGATCCAAGTGCTGAAGTTCGTAAAGCGGTTCTTGCTACTATGGGTAAAAATCAGAAAACTTTAGAAGCTGCATTTATAAGAACACGAGATATTGATGATTCTGTTCGTAAAAAAGCATATGAATTTATCAGTAAAATCACAGTGCGTTCCTTGACTATTGGACAAAGAGAACGTTTATTAAAGGATGGTCTTAAAGATAGATCCGACAGTGTTAGAATATGTGTAAATAATGTTTTATTGCCAGCATGGTTAAGATATTTCAAAGGAGAATATATGAGTCTTATTCATGCATTAGATGCAGGAATAGGAACAGAGTCTGCAACTTTAGCTTTACAAATATTGTTCAAGTAAGTTTCTCCTAAGGAAAATAAAGTAATGTAGGGTAAAGGAACTTTTTCGCCAATTTCCCGTGATAATGTTTATGTTTCTGAACAGAATATATTGACTATTTAAAGGCCTATGCCTTCAAGGGGTAATCATAATTGTATAATGTAATTATAAGCATGTCATTGCAAAGAAATATTGTTTGATATCGTAAATTTTCATATTACTTTAAAATTGAAACTGACCAAAAATCGCTCTACCCTATCTGATAAAATAATATTATTTGTGTATATAGATATATATTCTTAGTAAATATTGTTTTTATACAGAAATGCTGATTTAAACACATTATTGACACAAGTGCCAATAGATAAGAATACAAGATTGATTCCTTTGACGAGCTTAACAAATGAAAATGTTTTATATTGGAAGTGTGTAATACAGCATCTCCATCGTCTTTCCTCTATTGAAGAGTTAGAATTAATGATTCCAGAGTTATCAGAGTTCTGCAAATATATACGCGAATTTCTTGCTCTCATATCTTCTCAATCACATGAGACATGGGAAACAGAGAGTCATAAGTTTATTCTACTACAACTTTTTGAAATATCTACAATGTACGATCTCTCAGATGAGGTAGGCAGGAAGAATCTAAACGAAGTGATAATAGACACTTTAATGAGCGATCATTGCTCCACTAAAATAATTGAGTGTCTAGTGATTCATTTTGCAAAGGTGGTACCAGATCCCAGCAATATGCTGAATGCTATTGCTAATGTTATTAGCGAGATTAGGCTACCTTTGAAAGAAAATATAGTCACTCAGCAAATTACTGCAGAACAACAGCATGAAAACAACATGCGAGTGAGTATTAAAATTTAGTATTGTTAAAAAATAATATATCTGTAAATAATGAAAAAAATTTGATTATACAGGATCTTTCTGTATTTATAAATATTTTTATTTTTCTAACAATTTGATTGTAGAAAGCTAAATTAACAGTTGACATAATAGAACTCGAAGAGGAATTGTATCAAGCAATTAAGGAACAGAATTTTCTACAAGCTGATAGCCTTAAAGAAAAGATTAATACTTTGAAAGAGAAAATAAATTGTTTATGTAATACACCCGAAACTATAATAACTGAGGATAATATGCGGGAGGAGAAAAATGATACTGTAACTATGGTTAAATGCCTTGATATTTTATATGTTGCAATACAATCTATTCGCGTATTAACACCTACACTCAGAAGTTTGATGTATCTTGTTTTAAACAGTCTTGACGTAAGTACACATAAATTTTATGTGCGCGAGCGTATATGTGTATGTGTGAAAATTTATATTGTATTTTATAGTCACTTAATCTAATTTATTGCATTTTAGCATCCTCATGATAGCGTACATATATTAGCGCTAAAGACATTATGTGTTTATTGTATCTTGGACAAAGAATTAGCTAAGAAACACATAATGATATTTTTTTACCAATTTTCTCTTGAGCAAGAAAATCAAGAAATATGGGTAATCTCTTTGAGAGCAATATTCGATCTCTTGCTGGTGTATGGTTTAGAATATTTTGATATAATGCAAACTCCAGAAAACAATTCCGTACGCAATAGATCTGAAAAGACTCGCTCACTGTATACACATGAGGATAGTACACATGAAGACATTTCTATAAGTAAGCGGACTGAAATAGAGGAAGGTCCTTGCAATTTCATTAAAATCTTAACAGGATTGCTAACCAATGCGGTAAGTAATAATATCTTTGAGTTTTGCTAAAATTAAATAAATAAAATATTTATGCAGTAATTATATTTGAAAATTTATAGAATCAAGATTTACGCACTATTGCGGCGGAAGGACTCTGCAAATTATTGCTCAATCGACGAATCAATAGCAGTAATCTAGTATCGCGCCTGATAATTATGTGCTATAATCCAGTCAACGTTGATGACATTTATCTTCGTCAATGCTTGAGCGCTTTTTTTGACTGTTTTGTAGGGCGTGTATCTGATGCGCAAGAAATGCTCGAAAACGCATACTTTCTAACTCTGCAGGTTCTTTGTAACGCACCGGACATTAGCCCTCTACGGGAGATTAATGCATATCACGTATCTAGGTTTATACTGGGTTTAACAAGACGAGGCTGCCAGAAGAGTAGTGGGCAAACGTTTTATACACATAATAATCTTGCCTTTGCTATTTTGGCTGAGATTTTAAATCCAAAAAGCAAAATAGATCAAGAAATTCTTATTAAATCTTTGACAGATTTATGCATTCAACTTGAGGATGATGATCTATCAAAACAAAATCTGCAAAAAGCTATCAAGAATGTTACGAAAATGGTATGTCATTTATCCTTTATATTTCTGTATCAAGTCTTTCATATACTTCTCTGATCAAATTTTTGATACAAAATTATAATTCAAATGCATTCTGTAATAACACACATGTGTTAACTGTAATTTAATGTCTGGCAGGTGATGAATTATGATAAACGATTGCTTAAATATATTCAACAATTTAAACAAAAATTAGAGATGTCTTCCGAAGAAACAGAGATTAATATAGAAGATGATAGTGACAGCGAATCGTAAATGACGCACATTTATATAATATGTATTTATATTTATTAAATAAAGGAAATCCTAATTCTTGAAAATATCAAAATTAAATTTAAGTTACATTATAATATCAATATATTTAAATAAGTATTGATAATTCTTTAAAAAAATAAACAGTAATAAGTTTTTTTTTCGTTACTAAATATATTGGAGGTACTAGAAAATGAAGATTAATTTGTATTACCTAAGATACGGAAAGAATTTAATTTATATTTTAAAATATA